TGCACTTTGGTGGGTTTGTCCTCAATAATCAAGACCTGGGTCCTTTGGGGCCCAAAAGATCAATGAAGGTGACTATTGTATCTTCTTAATCGCCTTTCTAGGTCCATGATTATCAATGATTTAAARAGGCAAGGTTTATGGATTTTAATGACGGTGGCATGTCTTTCCATGCATTATGTGGGGCAAGTTAGGAGAGCTGACCCTTTAGATATTATTGGAGAATTTATGTTCCTTGCATTTCATAATGCATGGATTTCAAATTCAAAAAGAGGAGAAGGTTAGCATGTGAAGAGAATGAAAGTTATTGAGAAGAGGGAGGGCTAGGATTTCATTTCATAGGTGATTAGCTCTCAGCAAAGGAACCACCTATCCCCCCCCCAACCCCTTTTCCTTATAATCTAGACTCTTTCATTGCAGCTGCAAGTGGAGCCAAGGTTCAAAATATCAGTATCAAGTATCATATCAGAAAGTTTGGATACAGATATGGGTAAGGATACACTTGGATGCACATGGAATAGGTGGAAAGATTGGATATGCTTGGATAAACCAGGGTCCAGGGAAACTCTTACAAATCCCACAAATACATTAAATAACACTAAATCTGAGGTTGAAATAACTATGAATAAGGTATAAACACATAATAAATGTGCATTTTAATAGTTTATATGAAGAGATACATTAAATCTACAATACTGGGATATACATTACATAAGAATCACCCTGCCCTAACTTCCTTGAAATAGACACTCCACTCTACTCCCATTTGGGTCAATAAAGCAGTTAGTGAATCTCTGGATCCAAATGAAGAAATGGTTTAGGCTAGAACTCAAAGACCTTACCTCCTTAATCTAATGGTTTAACCTCTGCAGATTGCTTGATTTTCTCTGATTTTGTCACCTGAATGCTTAAGCTGCACTTATTTTGAATCTTAATTTTTTTTATGTGGAAAATGCTTTACATGAGTTTAGTCCTTGTTGTATGAGGGTAACATTGTCTAATTTAATATATGACAACATGAGAAGAGCTCTTTTGTGATGACTGTCAAGTTCCATGGAAAATGCTAGTCTAGGTCTTTTAAGATGTGCATAATTTACAGCACAAACAACCTAATAAAAGGATAGACACAAAACAACACTAAAAAGGTGTTCCCTTTTTTATGATTCAAAAAGTATGATCCTTTCTATTTTTTTTTTTTCAGTAGTACTCTCTCATAACTGGTCCTACTGTAATGAGCTTGTGGAAGAGAGGAGAGAATGATGGGCTTAGGATGGTAAGCATCTTATATAGCCATGGCCCATGGACCTATATCATGTTGTTATAGAATGGTAAGGACATATGTTTAGGTCATGATTGCTGATAAGTAGGTAAAGAGTGATTGCTATGTACATATTATATTGCTGAGATGTAAAGTCTTTTTGCTTAGACAATGCTCTAAGGAGACTCCCCATCCCTGCTGCCCCATGCCTCCATTCATGATCAGGCCAAGATGGCAAGGTTAGGCCAACCTATGTTTTTCCCCTAGGCCTGACCCTTCAAATGGAAGCATTGATCAGTATGAACTATACAGGGAGGGCAACCACTGTAACATTTTTGTTATATACTATGGATAACTATATGTGTTCTTTCTATTCTGTGACAAATTACAGATGGATATGGTTGGTCTTTCTTTCCTTTACCAGTGGAAATAGAACTTTGCTTACCTTCTTATGTTTTGATATCTCATTCTGTTACTTGCAACTAATATCAGAGTAACAATATCATTTCTTAAATTGGTAATTATTATTGGTAGTGGTGTTGTACATTTAAGTCATCATTAGGCATCTCAAGCATGTTTATTTAAACTTATTTGTCTCTTTTTTACCAAATAAAAAAACACTCAATTGTCTCTGTATGGAGAAGGTGATTAGTTCCACCCTGATTTTTTGGATGGCTGTCTGTCTTATTTCTATTTTTTATCATTCAAACTTTTTTCAGTTAGGAATATTTTACATTTGTCTTTTTTGGTAATTTTTCTGAATTATCTCTTTTTTTCGCTGTGGTTCTTAATACTATCTCTTGTTCTCAGCCTTGCCTCTTCTCGTTATGCCTACATTTGTTTTTCTTTTTTTTTTTACTTTTTTTTAATTACAGTAAAGGAAATCGGTTACTTAGAAAACAGAACACAAATAACCAAATAACCATGACAAGAACAGAGAAAACTGATGGCACAACTGAAACAAAACAAACTCATATTCAACTACGACTTGACAAACACCTCAACCAGCCTCTACTGAAAGCCAAAGAGACATCCCTAGCAGCAATAGGGGTGGGGTGCAAGTCTGGCTGGATTAGGTTGGGTTGAATCAACCCTAGCCATTCTGAGTTGAGCTTTCAATCCTTCAATCCTAAACCCTAACCCAACCTGATGGGATTGGGTTGGGTTCAAATTGGCCTGATTTCTTTACTTCTTTTTGCTAAGATATTCTTATTTCTTAGACTTTATTAACATATTATTAAGGCTAACTGACTTAAGCATTATCATATGAACAAGGACAAAATTATGATGCTTTAGGGGTATTGTTCTTATGTTACAGTAGAAAATGTTTCCTTTTTAACTTCAAATTTTTTTATACTTATATATAGATACATACATTAAYGGATGCATAGTTGGCTAGTTGCATATACACATACCCAAAGTTAAGTCATGTTATTTTTCAACCGTAACCCTAACTTCAATACAATCCAACCTGACTATTTCAGGTTGGATTTGGCTAACCTGGCCCAAACTGCACCCTACCAAGCACCAAGCAAGAATATCAACCAAACAATCTGGGGTGTAGAAAACCTTTCTTCCTGACACGATGGGATTCTCTGCAAGCAAAAACTCTGCACACACTGTGAAAGCATGGGAATCCAGCTGCAAATTGGGAACATCTCCCCATGAATTTAACAATTAACACACATGTACAGGAGACATTCCCAATGTGCAGATGGATGCTATGTGTGGAGTTTTTATTTGCAGGAGATCCGGGCTCCTTCCTGACAGCACAAATTCATACCTACAGTCACATGACCCCAGATAGAACCATATCCAGTCCACCCCTCCCAAGACCCCAGATAGCTGGGATCCTGGGACCAACATTGGTTAATGGGTAATGGCCTTTTCAAAAGTAAGTCATTCTTTGTGGGCAAGTTTTATATTAAAAAGTCATAATTTCGTACAGCTAATAACTGGAGGATAAATCACCTGACCAATCTAGGGGGATTCTACTTGATGGATGGTATGGATTTGCCACATATACATGCTATGTCTTTGGGTCAGATGGTCAAATTCTTTTTTGTTTTCCTTTTTGAGGACATGAAACAGACAGTTATAATATGCAATGCATATAGAAATATTTTTTATAATGTTTTTGTGTTTTTCTTTTTGAAAGCCGTTTTTGTGTTAATTGATCAGTTTACTGTAACCTATAATGATATTGTTGTATGGAATTGGCAACACCCAAGTTACAGAAGTAAAGCAGGATCATATATTTCTTTACCGTTTGTTTCTGCAAGTGAATCTCARTCTCGTTAAGAGAAACCTAATACATCACCTTGGAATTGAGTAATTTGGGTATCTCACTTGTATGCATTTTGGATATAGATTCATTCTGTATTTATTAATTCTAAAAAAATGTCATTTTTCTTATAGAACTCATGTCTTGCGATATTTGATCATTAGTGTACAAGTACTTCTAAGAGATAAATTGTATGGCTTGTTGAGAACCAGTGTTTGGTGATTTATTTCTCTCTTTTGTTTATTAGTTGAAGCAGTGAATTGTAGCATAAATGGTGAAAACATTGCGTATCTGCTTTTATGTGGCTGTTTGACGCTTTGTATGGAGAATGTCTATTATGATCTCATTGCATTTTGAGATATGAAGGAATATGAAGCCTCCTGAAATGATCATATGAAAGCTATGTTTGCCCCAGTGTCACTAGTCTTTAGGCTATCTATGTTCTTTTGTTCTTGTTCCCCGCCYGTTTTTTTTCTACAATGAAAATTCATCACGTAGAAGGACCGCCATTCAAAACCAGACATTGGCTGGAAAGGGGGACAAAAGAGGTGGTTTAGCAAGCATATGGGCTACCATGAGATTGAGAAAAAGAAAAACTGAAAGTGCGAAGTGCGAGCTGGTTCAACTGTATATGCAGTGGAAGTAGTTCTCACTGAACTTAGCCACCATCATAAGTTCAGAACATGAATTTAGGCATGTAGGCCTGGATGGCCTTTTTAACACGCATCAAAAACAGGTCAAGCCCGGCCTGTGAACTGTGTGATCAAYCCTACTTCCCTACCAAACAACGTGGACGTGGGTGAGTAATGGATTTCTTATCTTCTTTACTTCTTTAGTTGGGTCGCCCAAAAACCATATTTAGGGCAGTCTTTTTTCTTTTGGTAAACATGAAATTCCATTAACACAAGAGAAAAACGAACTATAACAAAGATAGAGAACAGCAGAAAGATCTGCCAACAGACAAAGAAAGAAAGAACATGAGGTAAAATCGGAATTTTAACACAGAAGAAAGCCCAAAGGGGGCTTCCTCAAAACTCTGARAACTACCTTTCAAGCCAAGGGAAGCTGCACGATGTGCTACTGAATTTGCCCCCCTGGGACACCAGAGGAACTTGAAATTCTTTCCTGAGCAGAACACTTTTAGGTCTTTGAACAAAAAGTAAATGCCTTGATGGCAAACATTTGTAATACCATTCAAAACAGATATCAGCTGACTGCAATCAGATTCAAACACAATATTGTCTAGGTTATGATTGACTGCAAATGAAAGAGTTTCAAACAGAGCAGTCTGTTCAAGCTCACTATTGAACCAGATAGAAAGATGGAAACTGCRTCCAGTTTCATAAAATTTCAAGACAACAAACAATATATACGATAGGATCTTTTATCAGACACWGATACACACACACACAAAAGGACAAAATAGGGACGCATATCTCCAATCTTCACATCGTAGTAGTGCGAAGGTGCAGTATTTTGTGCTCAGATTGGGTGAGATGCAACATACGGATCAAAAGGTTGGTAATATTGTAAATCCTCGGGAAAAGGCTTCAAACGAATAGCCCATCTTCATCTTTTCTAAGATAAGCAACACAATACTGTCGACTATCAAATCAAACTGTGTTGACCCAAAAAAAAGGGCTGTTAGGGGTGAATTTGAAAATTGAAATTGAATCACCTCTCACCTATCCAACCAGAATATAATCAGTAGTAGGCAATCTATTTGACCCTACAGCTGGTTGACTGACATTAACAAATTGCTTCGGGCTTGGCAAGGGTGGGAGTGGGACTTTTTACGGTGGCCAGATCAGTGGATCTATCATTCCATTCCATGCTGCAAATGTGTTGGCYGGGGTGGGAGCAAGGAGTATGGGATGGGATGGTAGTTACTCTCGTTAGCTTTGAAGGCATTTTCTTTATTTTCGTTAGTCCCACATCGGTTAGATGCGAGAGAAGGAATGAGGAAGAGTGTATATAAATAGGAAGAAGA